ATCTAATGATGTGTGTGGGATGGAAATCCAGCTAAGTAAAGTATATTATTTATACTGCTCCAGAGCCATACATTACTTTAGTTTCCAGCGAGCATTAACCACTTTACTTGCACAACCTTCGAAATTTACCTCTTCACATGCAATGCATTTAATGTCATTGTACTTGTAAGATCAGTTCTAAGATATGAGATCTCCTTTCATTAAATCCACATTATTGTGAATTGTGAATATCCTTTTAATTCGAAATGGTGCATTGGTATTATACAACAGTGGTGCTCTAGCATTTAATGCTCCAAAAAGTATTGAAATGACATGTTGCTACAATAATTAAATGCACCACCTCTCACAATCTTCTTTCGATGCATAAGCCAACTAAAGCAAGATGCATTAAATGCAACCTTTGATTTTGGACATTGAGTAAGTGCCCCACCCGATGAACCCTATTAGACCTGTTTTTGGCAGTGCATTTGGGCGGAAAATTCTCCCAATCTTCCACTGCGTTTTGTATATAGGAAAATACAGAAAATAACAAAATAAAAATTACAGGTTCTCTCCTCGAAATCCTCCCCTGCAGGAAGGTCACCACTAGGGAGTGGATTAATTGACTACCAACATCGCCTCCAACGTTGCTGGCATCTGCCTCCGCCCCCGCCTCCACCACACTCAGGCGACAGTCCAGGGGCAGAGCCAGAGCACTGTGCATGACTGGGCCAGTACAAAGAATATTTTTGGGAAAAAATTTACACGGAATTTTGTACTCTAAAAGTATAGACATTTTTAAAATTTGGACTACACCAGGGTCAAGGATGGCCCTCTCCTAGCTACACCCCTGGGCGACACCGCCACCATTGCCGTCCTCCTCTAATGAGACTTTCACCTCCTTTAACACCTTGATGAGACTGCTGCCACCGCACCGGCTGCCACCACTGAACAAACCTACTGCCATAAAATGGCACTATAAGAATATTTTTTCTTTCTTACTAAAGGTAATGCCAAAAAAGGCATTATTTCAAAATCAATGTTTGAATCTAGGATACTTTGGGAAAATAAAAATAAAGATTGTGCCACTTTCAGATTCAAATCGAGTGCCCTAAAAATAAGATGGATTGTTTTTAAAAGTGACATGATGAGATTGAAAAATATGGCATTAGAAGAGTAGTATTGTCATGTTAAATTTTGATATTGAAAAATATGACATTATAAGAGTAATATTGTCATGTAGATAAATGTAATGCAAACATAGTATTCATTTCTCTTCAATGCTCGAACAAAAGCGCAGCCACATATTTATTTAGAAATTTTCTGAATCCAATAAAAATAGCATAATAAAAATGAAGAAAATTGAAAAAAATCAATAAAATGTCGATAATTGTAACACCCCCAAATTCATACCCAAGATAAATGCTAATTATAGCAAGTATAGAAAGAATTTTCCAAAAACATTTAAGTCAAAAGAATTTCAATTACAGCGGAATAAAATAGTCATTGGAAGTTACCGCCACATTCGGCTATCTCTTTTGAATGCACAGACTAGACCACAATCCAAAAAATAATCCAAATAATTAAAGACTTAAATCTCAAAACAATTGATATGTCTACATTTTCTCAGTATTGAAAAAGAATTGACTAGATGAACAATCCTACTATTTTTTTTTGAACTCGGTGAAGGACCAGAAGAACGTGAAGTCTCCAGGGGTAGGGGTCAGGGAACACCCTACCTTTTTATTAGATAGAAACAATCCTACTATATACAAACCGAAGTGGAACGCCTGCCACTTTTCCCGCCCATTTATTCGGGTAAAAAACGGGTCAAATAGATAGGATTCGGTTCTGCAAGATTTGTGTTCACATCAGTTATTCATTTTGTTTTTTGTTTTGAAATTTTCTTATATCGATGCAAGATTCTCCCATTGAATTGAATGCAAAGTATACCCGTCAATAGAGTTAGTTCAATTTCAATATTATTCATAATAGCCTTTGTGGTCAAACGAATTCAATGTGGGTAGTTGAGCATTTATTGAGGTGGTTGAGCATTAATGAAGGTGGTTGAGGGTTTAAGCACCTGAGATATGGGCCGCCAAACGTATTCTTGTATAGTTGCCCGTCTATGCGTTCAAAATTCGGGGCACATCTTTTGATCCATGCAGCCTTCTCAATGCCCTCCCACTGGTGGTGCAGGAAGGGTTCCGTCTTTGAGATATTCAGCAATCTCTCTCATCTAGCTTGGCTCAGCAAAGGAGCTGGTTTCCACCTGGATGGTTTCCGTTTCCAGACAGAGTAATAGCTCTTGTCGGACAAATCTCCTGAGGTTTTCGAGTATGGCCACCATCTGGTCTTCGGGTGGAGGGTTGCCCAGTTTGGATAGGATATCAGCCTCGACGTTCTCCACCCGTGACACCTGGTCCAAGATCATCTCTTCAAACCGTGCAGTCTGTTTCTCCACCAATTCCTTATACGCCTTCATCCGCTCTTCCCGGGTTTCAGTGGTGCCGTTCATCTGGGTCACTACGAGCTAGCTGTCCATTTTTACCTTGTTAGAAATATTTTGTGGTGTTAAATCATGTTTTAATTTATTTGTATTTGTGTTGTTATTAGATCAGTTAATAGTCCGAGCCAATTTAGTGTTAAAAGCCCAATTGTCATTTTCCAAGCCCATTGTGAAAGGGCTCAACCTACAGACCTATAAATAGTCTCGAGGTTGAGTCTCTAGACCTAAGGCATCCTACAGAATAGACCAGCTATATACACTGCTCTCTCTCTCTCTAAGGAGGGAGAGCAGCGGCCGTTCATTTCATGTGCTAAAATTCTACATCATTATATCAATGAATTGGAGCTATTATTCTCATCTATTCTGCTCTATTATGTTATTAGATTGTTGAAGCAGATTTTACAATTGGTATCAGAGCCGAGGCACGAAACAGGTTGACGTATTTGCGATGATTTTTTGGACCGCATCGAGGAAGAAGACCTGCGAAGAAGAAGACCAGGTTAGCGCACAACATCTATGTGTGAACCAACTTAGCGCATTATTATAATTTTCAGAGTAGTTTTGTCCGGGAGCAAAGCAGCAGTGCGCAAAGCTGACCCAGGAGCAGACCTCACTTTGCGCTTCATGAACTTAGCACATCATTCTCTTTTAGCGTGAAGTGAAGATTCATGCGCGAATGAAGCTTTTTGGAGCTATAAAAAGATTCATGCGCAAAGTGGAATTTAACGCATGACATCAACTTAGCGCATCGGGAGGAGTTGCGCGAATCGTCACTCAACGCATCTTATTTAGCAGACGAAGTTAGCGCATCATTGTATTCATGCGCTAACATTTACACTTTGCACACGAGTCTTAGCGCATCGTGGATCGACCGAGCTTCACTCATGCGCAAACTGCCAAGTTAGCGCATTTGAAGGTTATGCGTGAACTGATATTTAGCAGACGATACACGAATCGATACTCAGCGCTTGGAACTGATGCACGAACCTTGAAGTTGGAACTGATGCGCGAACCTTCGAACCTTAAAGCATGGAACTCATGCGTGAACCTTCGAACCTTAAAGCCTGGAACTCATGCGCGAACCTATCTTGCAATTTCATGCGCTAAAGCAAAAAAATGGGGAAGAAAAGAGAGGAAAGGACAAAATTATTCTTTGAGATCCATCAAATTTTCTGGCTATCGTGTCCGCAGGTCGCCCGCACAGAGTGTGCGAATTTTCAATTTTGAACTACAAGCCGGAATCTCATGTGCACGAGAGGTCCCTTATTCTCCTTCTCCTTTTACTAATAATGAAGGAGTGACTCATATATATATAGGCTCAAAAAGTGTCTTGGAGTTGAGGTGTGGGATAAGTTAACTACCCTACTTTTTCTTTCACTTGAAAAAGTACATTTTTTTCCTACACCCACTCCAAGTGCTAATTTTTGGCCCATTTTCGACTTTGAGGTCCAAACTTCGAAATCAAAGGTCAACTCAAAGGTTAAAGCTACACTTAGGGGGTGTATTAAATATGGATTGTGGTGGATTTTTTAATCCGTGGACTTTTAAAAAAGTCAATGGACTTTTAAATCCATAGACTTTTTTGTGAATGAATTCTATGGACTTTTAAATCCATGTATAAGTTTATTGACTTTTAAAAAGTCTATAGACTTTTAAATGCGGACCGCCACTGCTGGTCGTCGAAATTTTCACCTAGATCGCCGCTACCGATCTGCCCGTCCACCTCCATCACCAGAGTTCCCCGTTGTCGTCATTGGACTGATCCGCCACCAACAAAATCGATTTGGTTATGCAAGGAAACTAGGGACAATTAATTATATTAATTAATTAAGTTATGGGTGAATATATAATATTTAGTCCTATTTAAGAAAAATGAAACATATGATCATACTTTAAGAAGAATGTTATGTTTTAGTCCTACCATGAGTAATTTCCTCTGTATAATATGTAGTATGATAAGAAACAAACAAACAAATAAATAAATTTGACGATGCAATCAAGTTTATCTTCTTAATACATCATGGTGACATCATTATTACCACAAACTGTTTTAAACTCTTGTAACTTTTTTATTTGTTTCCAAATTTTTCAAAATATATATCAAAATTAATAAAATTTTATGATCTTTCATATGACACCAATATGTAATATATAAAATGAAACAAATATTCTTAAGTGTTAACTGTTGAAGTTTTCTTGAGTTTAAAAAACAATGAAACACAATTTTTTAATTCATGAAATCTTCACAAATAACTGAATATTTCATAATCGAACTTTACTTGAACTAAGTTCATTTTTGTTAACCGAAAACATTAAAAAAATTAATGAAATTTATTTATTTTTATATCGAAATGTGTATTTTTTATTTCACAATTATTTAGAGAAAATATTAGACGGAAAACATTACTTGTAATAAATTAATTAATGTTTTACTAAATTGATATGTAAAAAAATATGTTGAGTGTATTTTATTGACCGTGCACAGATGCAGGAAAAAACAGTATTGACGGAGTCGAAACACTGTTTTGATATAGACAGAATCCAAATTTAATAACTCGGACTCCCGACCACTACAAATGGTCTAATAGAATACACCCCTTTGAGTTTTAAACAAAAAGTATCAATTGCACGCACTGCTCGGTGTGAAGCCGTTCTCAATTCTCACCGTCTCTCATTTGGGACCGAGACGGCACATGTTCTTGAGCTTTTCTTCCGCAGCTACTCACTTGATTCGGTTCATGTCTTCAAAACCTCAGCGCGTTCGTCCACGTAAATACTCTTTCAGAAATCCAAAACCCTGAAATTTTTATCGCTTCAGTGTCCGGGCCTTCTTCTTGCTTTAGTTTTCCAACTCATTTTGTCGAACAGTTGCAGAAACCTCCTGGCAAAGCGCACTGAAGAAGGAAAGGACTATGGCAACCTCCACCGCTACAGATACTCACATGAAGGATGCATTTGCCAAGTACACTGATTACCTCAATAGCCTCGTGAGCCCTTTCCTTCCTCACCTCCCTTTTTGCACTGTATTTCCGTTTTTGCACCGTCTTTTATCAAATTTTACTCTTTCGTACACAAGGTATTTCAAGTTGTTTTTAGGTTGGTATGGGAGCTTTGTTTTTGTTTTTGATAGCTACAAATTTGCACCGCTGTCTGTTGTCTGCACATTTGATCATTTCTATATGAGGTTCAGACTTCAGATTTTAGAGTGCCCTCTATTCTATTTTACAACTGATTTTGCTTCATCAACTTATTCAACTACTGAAAGGGAATATCTAGCTGGCTCCAATTAATTCTGGTTTCATGTATTATCCTTAATTTGATCATGTTTATAGTCTTAAACAGCTATGCACAATTTCCTTTTTGTTGCTCGCTAGGAGCCTAATGGATCCTGATGTTCACATAAGACAGGTCTCCAACTAGATGGTCATATATCAATTGTAAAACGGATGTGCTTCCTGATCTAGGTTTCTTGTGAACCATTGAATTGTGCAGCATAAAAAATGGAAACAGATGTTAGAAATTACTACCTTCTCTGACTTGTTTTATAATTTCTTGCGCATTGCTTCTTTCAGAACGATAAACGGGAAAGAGTGGTAAAAGCAAGTCGTGATATAACTATGAATAGCAAAAAGGTCATATTTCAAGTTCACAGGTAATTGGAAGCTTTCACTGTCAGAATTTAGAGCTTAACATATACTACGTATATCACATTAGCTCTAGGTTGTTTGCAGTTCAATTTCACTTTTATTCTCTTGCAATTGCCCTGTGCAGTTCCATCGTAAGAAAGATGCTGCTGGAATGGCATCCAACGTAACAGTTTACCAGTTATGCATTTCACAAGAATTTAGTGTTACCTAATTTTGGATGACTAATTGACACTAAACTTCATGCCACCAACCCAACATAATTGAATCGTTTTTAAGATGGCATCCAATCGTTTTTAACATAATTTTGGATGACTAATTTACCTTATGTATAGAGCAAAAAGTGGGGGAGTGTTGTGTGTTTGGGGGAAGGGGGAGGAAATTGAAGTTATATACTTCTCTAAATTCCTCATTTCTTGTTCAATTTCTATATTTTTTTTGGCATTTTTAAAACAAAGTGGTCTACTTTACTATAATATTGCTTTACCACTTGTACATATAGATTGCTTATATTCTTAATTACACAACAAAACTATATCTAATATGGTTCAAAGTATTTTTTAGAACAACAATTCCTCACTTCTCCTTTGAATCAAACTCTCCCCTCTTTTAGAACAAAGCAAATGTTAAACCTAAAGTAAAAATGGCTCCGCTCTTTATTGCAGAATGAGTCAAAACAATAAAGATGAAGTTTTGGGGAAAGCAGAAAAAGATCTTGGTGCTGTGACTGCACAATATGTGTCACGTCTTGTAAGGGAGCTACAGGGGTCTGATTTCTGGAAGCTGAGGCGCGCTTATTCTCCAGGGGTTGAGCTCTTTAAACTTATTCTCATTCTAGACTTTTCTAATGATTTTTTGCAGTACCTTTCTTAACCAAACAAAGGTTTGTCTTTCCAATATGTTGTAGGTTCAAGAATACGTTGAAGCGGCCACACTTTATCATTTCTGCAAGACTGGGACCCTTATTAACCTCGATGAGCTTAATGCTACCTTGATCCCATTGAGTGACCTTTCCACTCAGCCACTGCAGATTAATATACTGGACTATATTTTGGGGGTAATTTCTCAACATTCTGTTTGGATGAAGATAGAAGTAGGAAAGAAAGAAATACAAAGTACGGAGTATCTGGGAAGATAGAATGAGGATAAAATTAGTTTACTTTTACTGTATTTGGATTGAAAAAGAGAGGAATAAATGAGAAATAAAAAGAATTCACTTATGTAGATTCATACTACGTAGTTAATAAGCTTAAATCGGTAAGTTAGAAAAAAAAGTTCGCCTCCTTGATAGGATCTCTCCAGTAATGGTAGATTTTAATTTTATGTGGGCCCCACACTTTATTTTCTGTTTTTCTATTTATTTTAATTTTCTCGTCAACCAAACAGCTCAACCTAATCTCCCTTCCCAAACTCTATTCTATCAAACAAGGTGCTCAAGTGTCATTGTATTTTTCTCTGGTGCAAAAAATGATGACACTCTGAATCAGGAAACCTATGTTGGCTTATCATTATTACTACAATATTATTATCATTATTACTTGATGTTACCATTATATACTATTCTTGTTCTTGTATTAGCTAGCGGATTTGACAGGAGAGCTCATGAGGTTAGCAATCGGGCGCGTTTCAGATGGGGAACTTGAATTTGCTCATAAGATTTGCAGCTTTGTACGCGAAATCCATCGGGAGCTTACACTTGTTGCCCCACTTATGGAAGACCATTCTGACATGAAAATTAAAATGGATACAATGCTCCAAAGTGTTATGAAGATTGAAAATGGTATATGCTTCCCACTCTTTTTACTAATAATGTATTCGAAGTTTATGATTTCTCATTGTTCTTAAGCTTCTTCAGCTAATTTAGCTTTTCGAGTTTTTCTGTAATCTTTCACGAGGGATGAGGTCAATAGATGTAGAGCCTGCTTGGTAAGGCTCAAAACGGTGAATGTGAAACTGTGGCTAAAATGTTTGATTTCTCTTGAAATTTTAGTGTATATTTCATAAATAAACTAGTGAATCGTTTCAGCTAAAAAATAACTCGTGAACTTTTTATTTTCATTATCAACCCATTAAACTATCAAAATCATGTAGTAAATGCTTGGTGAAAATTTTGGATAATAAACCAAAAATAAAAGAATTCCAAACAGGCTCATATATGTATGGAGAATAAATAGCAAGCTGGCATTTTGTTGAGTTGATATCCGGATTTCTTACCAAAGTGCATTCTCTGCAGCTTGTTATGGCGTCCATGTGAGAGGATCTGAGTTTGTTCCCCTTCTTGAATCGGACGGCTCAGGTTTCCCATTGCCACTTGGCGTGTCTGACATCAACTGATGAAACTAACTCCAATAGATGAAACTCAATTGTCTTTTTCTCCCTGTTTCGTTTTCATTTTACTTCCCCTCATCTTCCATAATTACGTTTTTTCAGTAATATCCTTACTAATGAGTCTTGAACTAGAAGTTGGCTCAATCTGTTGGCCGACTGGTAAGTGGTAATGAAACTTATAACGTGTTCGTATTTGGGCCTGTTTCAAATGTGAAGTTGATATGTAGCCCAGTGTTACCCACTAATTATTTTAGTCTCTTACTGGAATTACAATGTATTTTTTTTATTATCATTTATCTTCATTTTTAGGTCAACTGGTCTATTTTTTTAATTTTATTGTAAAAATACTTAAACATATGTTGATAGATATACCGGTCATACAGTATAGCAAGTGGTGATAAACTAATACTAGTGGTATGCAATCTTTTATCGTTCTTCTAATTTATAACTCAATACATAATATAAATGTTTTTCAAAATGTTTATCAATTATCATGTTGTGCAATTGTCTTGAAACTTGTAATTGATCTTTGTTGATGCTCAATTTTGAAGCGCTATACTTGGACCCAAAATTAACAAATACTCTGTAATTTCGTATTACTATATACTATTGTTGGGCCGGGAGTTGTTCGTCCAGTAGCAAAGCCCATGACCATTTAATGAGTTAAGGAGTCAGCCCATTCAAATTAAAGAGAGGCAGATCAGATAAGGATAAAGAGAAACTTGGGGAACAAGAGTAAAAATGGCCTCCGGATAGATGAAGTCTAGCGGCTATTTTGCCGAGCAGTTGGAAGACCATCGTGGAGGAGTAATTTAAATACTTGTAGTCTAGCCATAAACAAGCACTTTTGGTCTTTTGGATATTACTATTCAAAGAAAGCTATTCTTATCATATTCATTCAAAACATTCATATTATTGCGTTTGTTCAAGAAATCCAAATTATTCAATTCGTTCTTATTATATTGTTGCACGATCCCCATTTTCATAGTTATTATAGTTTAGCTTAATTCTTGTTAAAACAATTTGGCGCCCACTGTGGGGCATCGTGCAAGAAGATAATCATTAAACATGGCTGAAAGCAACCCTCTATTGACGGAGTTCCACGCTCAACTAGAGGCAACTAAAGAAGAAATCCATCGGGGAGTGGCGGAACGGATGACACACCTCCAATGGGAAAACGACCTGCTCCGATCCCAGGTCCAGTCGGCGGTTTCAATCGCATCTAACTCTAGGGGAGGTCGGAGAAATGATCTCACGCCCGTCGTAACAAGATTAGATTTGGAGTCCACTCCGGCGGTGACGAATCCACCCAACATCGCCATCGAGCCCATTTCGCTCACATTGGGCCTCTCACCCGCCGGGGAGTCACAGTCCACCGTCATCTCCCAGGTGATACCGTACACGCTGCTCCTGCCTGTGACAACCCCTGTCCAAAACATACCAACTTGCTTCTTCCCGGAGTCCCTTCGTTCCGGACCTAGAACAGCAGGACTGCACTCGGTGATTCAAAGCCTCCCAATGGCCTCAAGGATATCAGCATCAACGGAGCCTTCCATCCCTCACTACAGGAGCATACCTCGTATAGAGCCCGGTCTGCCCAACTTCATCCAGAGCCGTCAACGGGATATGCCGTCTGAATTTCAGACGCAACGACGGCATACACCCGTCATTTCGATGGGTCAAAATCGTGGAGAACAACTTCCAGAGGTCATAATTATTCTGTTACCAACACGTCCCGAGATGATCCAGATGGCAAGACCGACAGTGTCGATGGCAGAATACTCCCGACCAAGTTTGCCAGACCCAATATCGATGATAATGGACCAGCTGCGGCAAATGCAAGACAAAATCAACGGATTATCAGGAGTACCCCCCCCCCCCCCTTTGGACCGAGCTTCGCAAACATGTTACACGTACTCCCCTTTCACCAGGCAAATTACAGATGTTGAAATACCACGCAAGTTTGCCGCTCCGTCAATGAAGATGTTTGACGGCACGTTCGACCCAACCGAACATGTTGCTCAATACAAACAACGGATGCTCCATGTGTCCCTCCGGCCTGATCAAAGAGAAGTGTGCATGTGCCGGGGTTTTGGAGCAACGCTGTCAGGTCCAGCACTTAAGTGGTTTGTCAATTTACCTAACGAAGGCATCAGATCGTTTGCAGACTTAGTCGATTCGTTCAATCATCAATTTGCGAGCAGTTGAGTGCTTGAGAAGCAAATTAGTGACCTTTATACAGTCACGCAGCGTCGAGGCGAATCACTGAGGGATTACCTACACCGGTTCAACAAAGAAAAGGTAGCAATTCCCCGATGCGACATTCCGACGGCAATTGAGGCATTTCGGAGAGGTCTGACTGACGAATCAGAACTATACCGGGAGATGACGAAATATCCATGCAGAACCTTCGAGGACGTCCAGGCCAAAACTCTAGCCTTCATCAAACTCGAAGAAGACCAGCAATCACGACATCGCCAGGATACATATGATGGGGGGCAACGCAGGTCGAGCACATCCAGGAAGCATGATTACAGAACCGGAAAGCCCTATGCCAGAAATGAAGACAGACAGGCTCATTCGTTAGCAAATTGGCTCGACGATCCGGACTTGCCACCCGTCATCGACGACTACTGCTTTAGTGTTACCACTCCGGAGCTCATTCGTTCTTTGGAAAAGCTGGGAGAGAAAGTTCGATGGCCCAAGAAGATTGATAAACCTGCAGGCCATCATGACCCAAACAAGCGATGCGATTTTCACAACGACATCGGGCACAACACTGAAGATTGCGTCGCACTACGAAAGGAGGTGGCATATTTGCTGAGAAATGGGTATCTAACGGAAATCATGTCTGAGCATACAAAGTCGCTGCTGGAATGGAATGTCAAAGTTTCACCAAAGGAACCACGTCCTCCTTCGCCTTCAGCCCCTTGTAAGGTAATCAACTTTATTAATGGAGGATCTGATTTATGTGGGCTAACATATTCTGCAGCAAAGAGACACGCTCGAGATTACTCCCGAGACAAGTCATTTCAGATATGAAGGGTTGAGAAGCGTCAGGAGGGCTGGAGGAAGGCGTCAATTACCTTTGACGAAACGGAAGTTCCTGATCAAACACAACCCCATCATGACACGTTAGTCATCTCCCTACGAGTGGCCAACTGTGAGGTCAAGCGAGTCTTGGTGGACAATGGAAGCACCGCAAATATCACAACAATAAAGATGCTTAAGGAAATGGGAATCAAGGACGAGGACATGACAGATTCCAGCTCAACCCTTGTCGGATTCAACGGAGAACCTAGTCGGACTATAGGTAACATATCTCTGCCCGTATATGCCCATGGACTTAATTTGCAGGTAAAGTTCGATGTAGTACAAGACCTGCCGGCTTACAACATGATTCTGGGAACTCCATGGTTGCACCAAATGGGGGCTGTTTCATCAACTTACCACCAAGTCGTCAAGTTCCCAACGCCATGGGGAGTACAGGCCATCCAAGGAGACCAAAGAACAGCAAAATCGTGTTATCAAGTTGCTATGAAATCAAAAACAGTACCATCAACCTCGGCATAGCAACTAAAGGGTGGCTCTACTCTGGAAGAGGATAGTGACGAAACGGAAGGAATTGCCATTGATCCTGAACATCCAGGGAGAGTCGTCCGAATCGGAAAGAACATTCGGAACACCTCAAAAGCGGACTAGTGGAATTTCTCAGAAATCACAAAGACGTGTTTGCATGGAGTCACGACGATATGACAGGTATTGATCCTAATATCATAACTCACAGGTTAAACGTCAGCCTATCGCACAAGCCCGTCAGGCAAAAAAGGAGACGCTTCGCCAAAGAAAGGAATGCAATTATAGACCAAGAAGTCAACACACTGCTTCGGACCGACAAGGTAAAAGAGGTAAAATATCCCGACTAGCTAGCTAATGTTGTTGTTGTCCAGAAAAAGAAAGGTCACAAGGAGGGCAAGCCGATTAAATGGAGAGTCTGCGTTGACTTCACTGATTTGAACAAAGCATGTCCAAAGGACTTATTTCCGATGCCACACATTGACGCGTTAGCTGACGCCACGGCTGGGCACGAAATGCCATCTTTCATGGACGCTTTCAGTGGTTACCACCAAATACAGCTACATCCCGACGACCAAGAAAAAACAGCTTTCATCATGGAAACAAGTACGTATTGTTATGTCGTTATGCCTTTTGGTCATAAAAATGCAGGTGCGACTTTCCAGAGGTTGGTCACTTTAATGTTTAAGGATCTGATGGGAGATACCATGGAGTTTTATATTGATGACATGATCATCAAATCAAAGAAAAAAGAAGACCACATCTGTCATTTGACGGAACTATTTAGAAAGTTGAAGGAGTACAATCTGAAAATCAATCCGGCAAAATGTACCTTTGGAATGACGTCAGGAGAATTCTTGGGGTATATTGTCAGTGAAAGAGGAATAGAGGCAAGCCCGGAACAAATACGAGAAATCCTTGACATTGAATCGCCAAAGTCCGTCAAAGATGTCCAGAGGTTGACAGGACGAGTTGAAGCCCTAAATCGTTTCATCTCAAAGTCGTCAGACAAAGTGTCACTTGTTTTTGACGTCTTGCGAAAGAACAAAAAATTCGAATGGACAGATCAACACGAGCAGGCGCTTCAACAATTAAAAATATACATGATGTCGCCACCGTTGCTTGCCAAGCCCAAAGATAACGACGAATTGCAGCTGTATCTGGCCGTCTCAGAACATGTCGTCAGTGCAGTATTGACAAAGGAGGAGCAGGGGCAACAAACTCCGGTCTATTACATGAGTAAGTCCTTAAATGGCCCCGAATCTAGCTACGCTCTCCTAGAAAATTTGGTTTTAGCCTTAGTCACTGCTTCAATTAAATTGCGTCCTTATTTTGAATCCCATACCATTTGTGTTCGAACTAATTATCCCATGAAGTCAATCATGAGGAAACCCGAGTTGACAGGTCACATGGCTAAATGGTCGATTCAACTTAGAGCTTATGACATAAGGTTTGAACCAAGAACGGCTCTGAAATCACAGTCACTTGCAGACTTTGTGGCAGACTTCAGCCCGAAACTCCAAACCGAAGCAGAGAAAGAGACGTGCATCTTGATTGACGGGTTACCAAAACAAAAATGGACACTGCATACTGACGGAGCGTCAAATCAGAATGATGCAGGACTGGGCGTAGTTCTGAAGTCACCACAGGGGGACGCCATGCTCCAAGCGGTACATTGTGATTTCACTGCT